AGATCTTCAACCTGAAACCTGCAGCATCCCTTTTCAGCAGGAAGTAACTAAGAGAATACAACATCCCCTTTTCCTTATGAATCAGGGTGAAATCTCTCTCAGGGAGGAGTGATAGGGAATGGCAAAGGACACACTGACAAAGGAGATTAATCAGAACTGGTTTTGACAAGCACTGTGGCAATGGGACAATTAAAACAGACTTTCAAGGAAAAAAAAGGAACGAACTTGGGGGAGGGGTACAGAAAATAGTGCAACAATGAATGAATGGAAATCCAAAATCTCTGTAAATGTTCATTAAAATTAGTAAAATTTTTAAAAAAGATGCCTGTGATCAAGTATACTTTAGTCTTTATACTGACATCCTTGTTTGTTAGCTCTTTGGAGAGGTCCTAGAGTACAGATTTTCCCAAAGGAATGTGTTTCCATATCTTGACTGCTCAAGGGTGTTGGTTGTGGATCCAAGATGAAATAATTGACAACTTCATTATTTTCTCTATCTTGATGCTATGCTATAACCCATGGTCTCTGACCTTCTGCAGCAACCGTTTTGGTTCTCACTTTCAGCACACAAAGACGTATCATCTACATACAGCAAGTTAAGTCTTCCTCAAATCTTGATGCCACATTCTTCATAAAGTTGTTTCTTGTGTGATTTTCTCAGCATAAAGACTGAGCAGGTATGGAGAAAATATATAAACCTAATGCACACCGTTCCTGATTTTAAACCATGTCAGGTTCCCTTGCCCTGTGGGAAAACAGCCTCTTGATCTAGATATATGAACACCATTAAATATCTGGGATTCCCATTCTTGTCTGTGTCAAATACCTTTGCATAGTCAATAAAACACAAATAGACACAATCCTGGTAGTCTCTATTTTCAACCAAGATCCTTCTGACATCAGCAGTGATCTCTCTGGTCCTATGACCTCTTCTAAATCCAGCTTAAATTTCTGGTAGTTCTGGCCATTTTTTTTTTTAAGTTTTCAGAAGTATTTTTATTGCACGTAATATTGATATTGCTCAGTAATTTCCACATTCTGTTGGATCAACTTTTTTGGAAATGGTGACAAATATGGTTATTTTCCAGTCAGTTGGCCAGGTAGCTGTCTTAAAATTCTTGGCAAAATCTGGTGAGCATGTAGAGGGCTGAATTTATGTTGAGACATGTCAATTTGTATTTCTTCAGTTGCTGGGCCCTTATTTTTTGCCAGTGCCTTCAGTCCAGCTTGAACCTCATTAGCTTTGTTTCTTGATCCTGAAATGGTTTTGTGTCAGCCAATTCTTTTTGGTATACTTATATTGTGTGAGTTTTTAGAGGCAGTCAGCCACAATGGAGGAAATGACCCATCTTTCTCCAGTGAGCAGCTGGTGGATTTGAACCACATGCTACTGGGTTGGCAGTGCAGTTTCTTACCACTAGGCCCCCAGGGCTCCTTATCCTATTGTTTTTTTTTTAAGTGCCGTCGAGTCATAGAAGACTAATATTGATCCTATGAACCAAAGACCTGAACACTTGTGTAACTTTCATCATTTCTCCAAATTCATAATTTCCAGAGGCAAGCTATTTCAGAAGTGGATGCCTTATCCTATAGTACCAGTTTAAATGTGCTTGTAATGGTTTAATAATGGCCTTTAATAAAGTGCCTAAAAGTTTCTACTTCTAAAACTATATATAAAGATTGATAACTTGAAGAATTTTTCTTTTCCAAGAGGGTACTGTACTAGGGGGGAGGGTTGGGAGGGGTGAAAAGTGTTAAAATGAGTGAATGGAAATCCAAAGTCGCTGTAAATTTTCATAGAAATTAATAAATTTTAAAAATCTACCTTAGAAAAGGAGAAATAAATGAATGGCTACGTTGCCTTTTGAAAAGGAAAAAAAAAAGACTGTTAACTTGTGTCTGTATGGACTTTTTGTCTTTTTCATTCAGTATTTGAAACCTCCTCACTCCTGTATGAAAAGTAGACCCCAAAATCCCTCAACACTGTCAAGTTAGAACCAATTTTTTTGCTGACTCTCCAGTGGGTTTTGAGTGTGTAAATCGCATGGGAGGAGGAGGCTGACCATCTTTCTCCTTGGGAGTGGATTCAGACCAGACAAGCAAGGCCTTTGTGTTAGCAGTACAACTCCCTGAAGACTATGCCACTAGAGCGCCTAGAAGAAAATGGGGTGTGTGTGTCAATAGTGGCATTAATACATGAGTATTTTTCTCTAAATTTTAAATATGAACTCTAAAAGAAAATAGAATAAAAAGCTAATTGATACAATTTTTTATTATTTTTGTGTGCGTGTACTGTCAAATCAGATCTGACTGGTACAGGAGGATACTGTCCCTCCTTCCCCGGCAGAGCATCTGGTGGATTAGAATTTTTTCTTAAAGAAATAAAAAGAATTGGGAAACAGCCACCTATGGATTAAGTGGGACCCTAGAAGGGTGACATTTTCCTTGTGTTACCTTTGTTACTTGCTAGTGTTTATCCTCTTGGTTTAAAAAAGAACTTCAAAATTGTTATTGTTTTTAGGTATCAATTATGAATGTATTATTCAATTTTATTAATTATTCATTCATTCACTCTATCTCAAGAGCTAGGCCACATGATTTTTTAGAAATCCTGAAACAATGGGTTAGTTTCAATTAATCCTTCCTTCTAAGTAGCATTATCCACACAACTGAAGTATATTTTGCATAACCATTCAGCAGGTTATGCTACAAAATCCAGCTTGAATTAATTTTGATTTAGAAGAGGTCACAGCACCAGGGATATCACTGATCTTCCCAACTCAGATTATACTTTCAATTTCTGCTTCACCATTCTGCATATGGTAGAGCCAGAGTAGCTTACAACTACTTTTTCCTAATTACATCTAAAGTGATTTGAGGTATCACCAGTTGGAAAAAGAATGACAATGTGTGGCTGTATATACTTGCTTTCCTTCTAGTAAATTTATAGACTACATAATTGGCATTCATATTTATAAAAAGACAGCATTATCTTAGCCCTTTCAAGACTGATGGGTGGGAGAGGATGGAAGCAGAGGGATGTGGATGTGCAGGGGGTGGAGGGACTAATCATTGTACAATTTGATGGGGGGGGTGAGGGAAATTGAGAGAATTTGTTCAAATTTGTATTCGAGTTTTGTGAATAAATAGTAGGAAAATAAAAAAAAAATATTTGAGTTATTTTCTGCTTTGAATTGTTTTATTAAAGCCATGCATTTTTGGTAATGGAAAGCATTTTGAATGAAATAAAAAAGATTTTTTCTCCCTATAAAATACTGATTTTGATGTAAGAAAGAAAAGAAATCCCAAGCAACCAAACTCCCCCCTCCCCACTACCATTCAGTCAGAAAAAGACTCATAGTTGACCCTGGGTTTCTGAGGCTGTGATCAGGAGGTTGACAGCTCCTTTTTCCTGAGGAACCACTGGTGGATTCCTAAAGGCTTGGCCTTTGGGTTAGCAGTGCAACATGTATGGGCTATACCAGAACACCCTTTGATAAAATTCATGGAGGATATGTTCTGAGGAGCCCCTACTACTCAGGTTGGTGGGATGAAGCTCGTTTTCTTCAGATTCACACAGTTAACACGTTGCCATGAATGACCGCAAAAAAATGTATTTCTAAGCACGGTCTCAATTTAAAAGTGTGCGACAATGTGTTAAACAGGGCCCTGTGCTTGCTTCGGCAGCACATATACTAAAATTGGAACGATACAGAGAAGATTAGCATGGTCCCTGCGCAAGGATGACACGCAAATTCGTGAAGCGTTCCATATTTATTAATGTTCAAAATCCCTAGCTCTAAGAGAGATGCAAATCAAAACAACTATGAGGAATCATCTCACCCGAGTCAGAATAGAAAAATTTAACAGAACAGCAAACAACAAATGCTGGCGAGGTTGTGGAGAAACTGGAACCCTTATTCACTGTTGGTGGGAGTGTAAAATGGTGCAACCACTGTGGAAGGCGGTATGGCGCTTTCTCAAAAAGTTGCAGAGATACCATTTGACCCAGCAATTCCACTACTGGGAATATACCCCAAAGAGACCATAACTGCCACCCAAGCAGATATATGCACACCCATGTTTATTGCGGCTTTGTTCACAATAGCAAGGATTTGGAAACACCCTAAGTGCCCATCAACAAATGAATGGATAGAGAAGCTGTGGTATATTCACACAATGGAATACTATGCTGCATTAAAAAACAAGGAACTCATGCAATATTATTCAAAATGGGTGACCCTGGAAGACATTATGCTGAGTGAAATATCTCAGTCGCAAAAGGACAAATATTGCATGGTGCCACTGTTGTAAAATGGGACTGATATCAGGGTTAGGGTAAGACTGAGAAAAACTGGATAAATTGTGTATACTGCACTGAAACAGATGAGGGAGTGAATAATTTAAAAGCGATGTATGATAGTGTATTATGGTTATCATAAGAGTCATAATTAAGGTTGCATGTACTTGGGGCGGGGGGATTGTGTACCAGAGAGGGAATGTTTCTTTTACTTATGAAAGAGAGGAGCAAACTGGGGTGGGGAGGGCTGGGCGGGGAGAGAAGTGCAGCAATGAATGAATGGAAATCCAAAATCTCTGTAAATGTTCCTTAAAATTATTAAAAAAAGAGAGGAGCAAACTGGGGGGGGGAGGGCTGGGCGGGGAGAGAAGTGCAGCAATGAATGAATGGAAATCCAAAATCTCTGTAAATGTTCCTTAAAATTATTAAAAAAAAAAAGCTTAAAAAAAAAAAACCAAGAAAAAAACACACAGGGCCCCACCAGATGGTAACATGCACTGAATGTGGGATAGACATTTCCACTACATTCCAGGGGTGTAAAAAAATGTAGATGAACAATGTGTCCCCCAGAAGTCTCAAAAAAAAGATGGAATTTTTACCTTTAAATGGTATTTTGTGGTTTTGACATGGTACTTCTAGCTCTAAGTTACTACCAGGTGAACACAGACCAGAATAAAACAAATTTTTTTAAAAAGCTTATGTAGACAGGCAAGGCATACTTTATTTGTCTAGTGACATGACATATGTACAGCTGAATGTAAATTAAAGGCCTGCTTGTAGGCCAAAGCCAGGTCCTTTGGGTGGTTCAGTCAAAGAGGTAAGTCCACCAGCTGGTTCACAAGAGGAGCGTCCACTCCTAAAAAAAAAAATCAGATTAGCATTTTATTAACTAATATTTAACAAATTTCACTTTAAAATTATAATCGTAAAAAAAAAATTGTAATCGTTATTTCATAATAGGGTGATTAACTATTAACCCCAATAACTAATATGAACTACTTAATTGAGGCATTTTAACTGCTACAAGATTGTCTCCTCTTAGAGGTTAATTTATAAAAAGATCATGAATATGAAAACTATAGAACACTCCTACCAGTTCTTATTGATTGAGTAGTGACACACAACAATGTCATGAAAAAAATTAATGCTGGTCTGCCTTCAGAGATACAGAAACCAAGGTTTGATAGTTAAAGCATCTGACTAATAAGAGAGGTATGTGAAAAATAACTCTCTACTCAAGGAGAACTTTTAAAATCACACTTTCTTTTTAAACATAAACACATGTATTCTTTATTTGTAATTTATATAAATTGAGGTGCCCTGTTTCAGTAAACTTACAGGAATACACACACTTTTAGCTCATTATTGTACATTATATATTTGGAAGTAAAAAGATGGATTGCTTTAGAAATTTGAAGATTTGAGAGGATGCCCCTTAGAAGCAGAAGTCAAAGTCTATAATTTTATGCTTTTTAACAAAAGTAGTGCTATCAATTTTCTACCAACTTCTATAATCCCCTCAAAAGAACAGATCACAGATCAGTGTTAATACTATAAACATGAACAGGTCTTGATGAAGAATAGCAGCAGAGAAGTAGAAGAACCTGTTTTTTTCTTCACCCACACATGTATTTTTCCCGTATAATTGCTCAATTCTGACCTGTATGGCCTGTTGCTAGAGAACAGTTTAGCATTTCATGTTATTTTCACCCCTCCTACTCACTGCATTCCCTTCCTATTTTGTCACTAATCCTTTTTTTCTGAATGCAAATAAATTTTTTTTCAATGAGACAGGACAGGGATACTACTTAATCTTTCCAATTCAAGCTAGCACAGCACATGAATGACAGAAATGTATGTTAATGAAGGATGTAAATAATGCCAGAAATTACTATAGTTGCATAAGGTCTTTTTGTTCACCATCCCAGCACTAACTAAACAGGGCAAGTGGCCAAGTTATATTTAATGTAAACAACATCACCCAAACAAACCCTAAAAGAGGAAGCTGAATCTGCAGTCTTGCAAAAAATCAAATAGTTAACACCATAGTACTCTTGACTTCTTTTTGTTGTTATGTGCTATTGAGTCAGAACTGACTTATAGCTTATCCTCCAGGAGGTTTTCAGACTCAGTAAATTACATGAAAGGAGACTGCTCCTTTAACCATGGAGGAGCGGGTGGATTCAAACTGCCAGTCTCTGGATTGGCAGCTCAACTCCTTAAATACAGTAGGTCACCAGAGATCTCCTACTCTTTGACTAAAATACAGAAGTTTGAAATGAACTTCCCTCTCTCTTCTTCTTACAAGTCTGTTCTTGTAATTTAATATCAACTACCTTTGCCATAACATTTCTCTGCTCAAAACCGTCCTTCTAAATTATCAGAATGTTTTCTCTTAAAAATATATTGAAAGCTAAGAGCCTTCAGAGGCTATCTTCCAGTGAAGAATAGTTTACAACTCATGATAAATAATAACATCCTCACTATCATTACATGTTGAGAGTGCTTCACTGTTATACCTGGTTCCGCCTATTTACTGTTGAAGTACAATAGAGCTATAACTTTGCTGGCTTTAAAACAAAAAATAATTATAATTTTACCATTTCTAATCTCATCCAGCCTTATGGTTTTAATCAAAGACAAAATCCAGTGTTAAATACAATGTATACAAACTTTATAAGTAAACCAGTATGAAATAAAAGTGTTATTAAAAAAGGAAATAGGAAATCATCTATAACCATCTCTCTAATCATCTTGAATAATCTATAATCCAAGAGTCATGTTTCATTTCATATTTCTAAGGCTAATCAAGTCTTGAAGTTTTTGGCTCCTATCCATCTTTCTGCATTCTATCATCAATGTCTAATAAACATTTTAAATTTAATATGCTTGAAAAAAAATTCAGGACTTTTCTTCTATAACCCTGCTCTATCTCAAATCTTCTCTATTTCATTTTAAAGAATTCCCAAGTACTGAGGCCAAAAGCCAGGAATTATCCTTAATTTCTTCACTCTTATGTAGTCACTAATTCTACACTGTTCTCTACAAAGCAACCGAGGCAATATTTTTAACACAATCACTGATATTAACCCTTCTGTGTGTGTGTCTATCTATCTAGCTATCCATCTATGATGTTTTCTACAACTTTTCTCCTCAAAAACCTCACTACAATCATGTAACTGTTTTATTTCTCCCAGGACCTTTATATATACTCCTTATTCTCCCTAGAACATTCTTCCTACAGCTTTTCCAATAGTGCTTTCTCTGATGTTACCACCTCAGCGAGGCCTCTCTCTCTCTGTCATTGGGTCAGAAATGACTCAATGTTGACCTTGCAGCAAGTTTGCACAGGAAGCATCCCATCTTTCTCACATGGAGCAACTGGTAGATCCGAACTGCTTGTCTTTGGGCTGGTAGCACAACTCCTTACCTAGTTGGTCATAGAATTCCTCCACAAACTCATCCTCCCTAAATTTATCCTGTCATTCTTTATTTCCTAACTGCTTCATTTTGAAAAGTCACCAAATATGACAAACTGTCAGATGGGTAATGGTCACTTGTGGTAACAGCCTTTCATCTTGAACAGTTTCTACAACCTCTAGTCACTGAAAAGATGCACATGTTTTTACCTTTTTTTCCCCCTTGTGTACTGTTGAACTGGATCCTACTGGCACAGGAGATTACACCTCACTCTCCAGTGGAGCATTTGGTGGACCATTCACATCTTTTTTAGCTTATTTTCTGTTTTACTAGGTTCCTTTCATTATATGACTACAATAATTACTTTTCAAAAAAATTATTAATTTCAAGGATGTTTACCAAACTCCTGTACCTCTATCTAGATATTGACATTTCTTGAAATTATTTATCAGTGAAAGTAGTAGGAGTATATGCATTTTTCAGGCATTAATTCTATATTGTTCCCTGAATGTAGTTCCAGGATTAAACTACTGTGTAGTTATTTCATTGGATTAAAAGCACTATGTCGTCGTTCTTATTATGTGCTGTCAAGTCGCCTGCAACTCATAGTGACCCTATGTACAGCTCTGAACCCTGCTCTATCCTGAGCCAAACTTATTGTCTCTGATGCAACTACCCCAATACCCCAAGTCACTGAGTCAATCCATCTCATCCAGCGTCTTCATCTCTTGTGGTATCCCTTCACCCTCCCAAGCATGATGTCCCTCTCCAATGATTAGTTCCTCCTGGCCACATGTCCAAAGTATGTCAAAGAAGCTTCAGAATCCTTGCCTCCAAAGAGCAGCTGGTTTCACCCTCTCTAGGACGAATCTGTTTGTTCTCTCGGCAGTCCATGGTATATTCAATACTCTTCTCCAGCACCACAGCTCGAAATGATCAATTCTCCTTCTATCATCCCTAGTCATTGTCCAGCCTCATGAAGTATAGCAAGTAATGTGAATACCACGGCCTAGATCAGTCTCCAGATGGATACTGTTGCTCTTAGTATTCTGAAGAGGTCCCTGACAGCACACTTTCTCAATGCAATTCATCTTCTGATTTCTTGGATGCTGGTACCAAGAGTGTCAACTGTGGAGCTAAGCAAACCGAAGTTGTCAATAATCTCAGTCTCTTCATAATCAATCTTGATGCTGCCAGTTGGCCCAGTGGTGAGAATCTTGTGTTTTCTTGATTTTGAGCTTCAATCCATATTGAAGGTTGCAGTCCTATGTTAGTCTAAAGGTGAGAACGGAACCTTCATGGGCAAACTAAGAGGAGACAGACTAAGTCAACCTTCTAACTGAATAAACTTAAACAATGTTATTGATTTCTATGTGTAAATAAATATTTATGCAGATAGGGTTTTAGAAATAAAAATTGTTCTAATTTTTTTAAAAAAATAACAATGCAAGATTTTTTCCAACTTTTGTCAATTTAGACTTTTTAACCTAAATTTTTTAATGTTTTAGGTTCAGCCCACTAAAATTTATTCTATGTAAATAAAAGACTACCTTGGCCCAGGTTTTGGCATGTTGCCAGCCTTGAGGTCATCAATAATTTCTTCAATATCCTTAGGTGTCAGATCCTCCTGGAAAGGTTGAGAAGAGAAGGCAGTGGCAATTATAAGTCACACTAAATAATACCAGTTAGTTTACTTTCTGTCTTTTTCTCTTAGATCACATGTTATCAAGGTAGCAACAAGTGAATCATATATATTTACTCTGTTGTTATTAGGTGCCATTGTGTTGACACTATTAGGTTTTCAGGGGCAATAATGTGCACGGGAGACTGCTCATCTTTCTTCCAAGGAACAGCTGAGAGATTTGAACCTGGTTGGCAGCAAAACTAGACCACCAACTAGATTACTAAATGAAATACGCTGTAAAAACAATCAGTAAAGAAAAAATGCAGAGTAGTGATTTGAAGTAAAAGGGATCTGTGTTTCAGTTCTGGCTCTACCAAGAATAATCTTGGACAAGTTAGTTACTCAGCTTCCTTAAGTTCGTTTCTTTCTTTGTAAACTTACTTAAGAAGATTTTGGAAAATTAAATGAGAAAATATACAAAACAGAAAGTACAAAAGGCATATGCTGTATCCAATTATAAATGGAGACCATGAGGTACAGTAGTGTTATTTCTAAAATTCTTTTCTACGTGAAATTCCGTTTCAAAATTCACTTAATTTTGAAAGGGAAAATTGAAAACACTTAGGCACTATTTGCCACATTTATTTCTTTAATGATCCCAAACGGATAATCCTACCCTCTCTAGTTCTACTGCAGTGGAATCATTTGGCTAACAGCAACCCTCTGTCATTTCTTATGAAGACTGTTCATCCTTTCCCTGTAGGATGGTTGGGGGGGATTCAAACTGTGGACCTATGGCTAGCAAACCAACATGCTACAAATTGTATCACCAGGCTCCTTAACATGTAACCCAGCCTGGAGGTAAGCCGCTGTGTGAGGATGGTCATGGTGAACATGCAAAGCCGTGGTGGCTGTGTGACAAGCCTGTGTCACCAAGGCGCCGACTGGCCAGGAGAATGGAGCCTGTGATAGATCCTTCCGTAGCACCAAGTACTGCACTAGCAGTTGCAGCTGTGTGCTGGAAGCCGCCATCTTCCTGACCCAGATAGAGGTGGTGCCTTCTCCCCAGTGCATGCTGGGATCGGGGAGGCTTCCTGAGCGCCCCCATGGTTTTGTACAGTGGGAGTGCAAAGGACTTTGGGATCTACTGGGCTACTTTTGAAGGCAAAAGGTGGGAAATGTCATCTCAGGCCTCGCTGAGCATGACAAGAAGTGAGAGAAAACTTCGTAAGGAGACTCTTGGAAACCTAAGGAAGCAATGGAGCCAGAGAATACTCCACTTCAAGAAGGCTGGGCCAAAGGAGGTGTTTTAGTTCACTTGGAAAAACTAGAGGCTCAGGTGACCAGATCTCGTAAACGATTTAAAGAGCCACAGAGTGCACAGGCAGAAGGTGGTACATCCAGGACCAGGACTGACAAGCAGAGAGCTGACCAGAAGCAACAGCAAGGCAGAGTTAAAGCATCTACTTCTAGTGCAGAGCCTGGTCATACTTCGGAGACAAGTGAGCAAAGAGATTTAAAGGAAATATGTGAAAACATGATATTCTGCAGGCATATAATTTTACAGGGGTCAGTAGTAAACGGACCAGCCAAGGAGTCTGTATCTGCATCAACACTGCTTTTGAAGGACATTTCTTAAGATTCCTATTATGTGGACCTTGTCATGCAGAAACCACTTTGGATACATCACCATTCAGTCCCTGCCTTCATTCCTCTAGAAGAGTTAGCTGCAAAATATTTACAGACTGATATCCAGCACTTCCTGTTCAGCCTCTCAAAATATCTAAATGCTCGGCTCTGGGAGGAAGTACCCGGCAGATCGACTCCAGAGTGATTTTGCAGCCTTTCTGACTGGGGCTTTGCAGAGAAACTCACTGTGCAACTTGCTGTCATTTACTTACAAAGTGAAGCCAAAGAGTCATTCCTTCCTCTTCTGTGCTAGACTGTTATATAAGGACCCCACAATCACCATTCCCACGGATGTCACCATTATATATCAAGGGGTGGAGAGAAGATCAACGTCACAGGAAGAACAGCAGGTCTACCATAAAAATCTCTTTTATACAACATCATTACCTAAAGTATTTGCTTCATTTGCAAAAGAAGAAACGTTGAGTATGAACGGGACCACCTCACATGTCATTTCAGGCCACGTTCCAAGAACTGAAAAATCTTAAACAGCTCAGACTCCTTGAGGACCCGTCCTGGAATAAGAACTGACACCTACATCTTCACTGGAGACAGGCCAGGGTGTGGGTCCACGGACATTGGGACATTTCTCCATTTAAAGATCTCTTGTAGTACACAAGATCATGCGCTCTTTTGAGGCATTAATTGATGCAATCACATATTTTAACTGTAAATGAAAATGGTTATATGGGGATTTTGTGAGGGAGGATAGGCATATCCTTCAACTAAACAGTATTTCTGGCCTCCTTGGAAGCTTTAAGTAAGGAAGTTCTTAAATTCCTCTACCATGGTGATATATACAGAGAAGTATATATAATCTTTGGTTTGAATATACTGTAGCTTTATAAAGAATATGATGTGAGAAAGTACTATGGGTGAAACAGGGCTGTGTACGTTTGTCTGCTAAAACATTTTAGTACAGAGCTGATAAAGTATAAAGCCAGTTCTGAAAGAGCAAGGTTGTATGTCTTCCCATGAACTCAATCACTTTTACAGTGGGAAATGGCCCTCTCTCCACTTCCCTCTCATGCAGGTTCTAGGCCATGGCTAAATAGTATCCTCCCACCCCCTCGCCGCCAATTCAACCATGAGCTATGGATCTGTTGACATGTTTTGTTCTGGCTTATGAGAGTTGATGGTGACCTAGTGGGAAAGAGTTGTGCTGCTAACCCAAAGGCATGCGGTTCAAATCTACCAGCTGTTGCAGAAGATGGGTAGACTTCATCCATGTCATTTCCAGCCTCTTATAAATGTGCCGGAGGGTCATCTATGAGTTATTTCCGACTTGAAGGTACACAACAACATGGAGTATACTGTGTATACTATATACACAGGTGTGAAACTTGTTTCTGGCTGGCCATTTCAAATCCTGTCGCTCCCCCCCCTTAAAAGGGGAGTTATTCCTACATTCCTGATCAAGCTCCAGAGATGCATTTAGGCCCTACTCTAAAACAGTCACTGGAGGGGCCTGATGATCATGAAGTAGAACGTGTAAGCTTCACATGAGGAGCTCTGGTTCTCTCAGGAGGAGCACAGGGGACTGGGAAAGCCACCAGGGATTGGCAGGTAGCAGCAGCTTAAGGACAGGAGAGGGGTCCCAGTTCAATCTGGCCTTCCAAATGTATGATGGGGACTTAACACATACAATTTTTACAATAACCACATTCAAGTTGAATAAAGCTTTTAATAAAAAAAATAGGCATGTACCCAACTACTTACACATATGCTCCGCACCATTTTCTTTCAAGAAAGAATGCTGTTATTTAACTTGTTTAGAGTATAATGAAAGCATATATGTACATGCATACAGAGACAAAACCATATAAGCCTAGCTTATTTGATTTAATTATTATAATTAATAATTATTTGATTTAATCAAAAGCAGAACAGTCAAAATAGAATGATAAAAGTTAAGCTAGAGAACATTCACAGCCATATAAGAGCTAATCCTTTCACCCTCCTTCCACTATTATGAAATATTTAAGAAAAATTTCACTGGAAAGTCCTGAGAAAGTACCCTGGTATTAACTGTGCTAGATAAATCATGATCCGCGCTGTGCCACAAGTGCCCAGAAATGCTTGGCACATAGAAGGCTGTTAAAGTATGTTCAGTGATTAAATAATTATAGAAATACAAAGCTGCATTTAAACCAATGAGGGTTCAATTATATACTCAAAACCTAACAGCTAAAACAAATCATTAAGTTCATCTAATTATCTGATCCCTGTGAAAACCAGAAAACTAAAGAAATGCTGCATTTTTATCACCTAAATCAAATAATTCTTAACTTTATGATAGATGAAGTATGTACATATAAATTTTTTTGGCTATAGAATTTAAAAGCAAGCTGCAGACATCATCACTCTTCATCCTTATTACTTTTACTCTTAGTAAAAACAACCCTTTAAGTAAGTAACTACAGACCATTTCCATAGCTAATAAAATAAACTAATTCCTTAATACCATCAATTGCCAAGTCTAGAGCTCAGGTTCCCCTATTATCTCAAAATTTATTTGATACTTATTTTTTCAAAGCAGGGATCAAAGCATGTCAAAACCCACAAAATTCTATACATGTTTAAGGCAAAAAGCTTGTCAGAGAAGGAAAACACAAGTACTTTGCCCTGGACACCCATCGGTGCAGAACTGCACCACCAACACAAAGGTACACAGTCCAAATCCACCAGCTACTCTGAGGGAGAAAGGGGCAATCTCCTCCCATGTAATTTACTGAATTGCAAACACTCTAGAGGGTCAGCTTGCTTGGTGAAGGTAAGGAAGATCTGAAACACTTGCTGCAGAAGAGCAAAGATTACAGAACTAAAAAACGGATTATATCTCAAATTGTGTTCTGTGTGTTGAGTACCAGCAAGTGCGAAGTGATCCAGTGGGTTTTCAGGGGCATCACACAGGAGGAAACTGTCCATCCTTCTGCATCCTGGATTTGAACAGGATGCTTGTGGGAATGCAGTGAAGCTTCTTAACACTAGGCCATCAGAACTAACAAAACACTGGGCAGCCAATAGGCAACATGATAAATGGAGAAAAGATCAAATGACAATTTCACCTTACATAAATCATTGATAACAGTAGTAAAGAAAGCAAGACATGCTGCACTGGGAAAATATGACGTTAGGGACTTCCTCGAAGTTTTTCTTTTTTGCTTGTTTTTTATTAATTTTAATCAATGTATACAGAGACTTTGTATTTCCATTAATTCATTGGCGCATTCTTCTCCTCATGCCCCCCACCCCCCGGCCTGCTTCACTCTTCTCTTTGACAAGGAAAAAAAAATTCCTCCATTGTTATACAA